TTTAAACATGGCTAGGTTACTCTGTGATAAGATGCCTGTCAAGAATTTGGTGTCATGGACAATTATAATTTCTGGGTATGCTGGAAAAGGATTCACAAAGGAGGCTGGGGTTGAACGGAATGGTGGTCGGGTTTAGAGGTGGCTGAGGTTGAACAGGGTGGTCGGGCCAATTGGTGATTGCGGGCTGCAGAGGTTGTCGTATTGGTGTTTGCGGTAGGCGAACTGGTGGTAATTATGGTGGCTGAACTGGTGGTTGTTTGTTGATGTTGTTGTTGCGGGTTGTTGGCAGGCGCGACGGGGGAAGAGGAGGGGAAAGGTGGAGCAATGGTGGTGGTGGTGGTTGGGAAAAGAAAGAAAGAAGGTAGGAAGAAGAAGAGTGAAAAATCGGGGAGAGAGAGTGAGAAAGCCAGAAAATAGAAGAAAAAAAAGGAAAAAAAAAAAAAAAAAAAAAAGTGGGGCCCACTGACGGAAATTTTACCGGTAAAACAAAATGGGTGGTAATCTGAGCGTTTTTTTAATTTAATGGGTGGTAATTTAAAATAAAATTTTAATTGGGTGGTTATTTAGAAACTGATACTATTTTTGGGTGGTAATTTGCAAATTATCCTAAATGCAATTACGTTTGTTAGAGTATGTGGCCTTGGCCCTTAGTGGCAAAAGTGACCTTTGAAAAGGTGTAACGAAACAATCACTAGAAACTCAAAATTTAAGCAAAAAAGTTTTTGTCAAAGATAACAACATAAAGATGATTTGAACAATCTAATATGGCTTGCAAATGAGTTACAACTCGATCATATACAATGCCAAAGGCAATATAATACACATTATAGCTCAGAACGGGCTAACATTTATAGAAAAGGTAATACTAACACGTAATGAGATTAAGAAACCAAGTAATTAACAACATTAGAAAAACATGACGATCCGAAAATTTAAAGTTGTGCTTGAAGCATCCCTCTCAATTCGTTGATAAAAACATCCATTTTAGGAGGAGCCAAGGAAACAGGCACCATGACCATAGTCTCTCCTTTCTTGTTCTTAAAGGAAATAAAGAAGCTAGCATCTGGTATCGACCCATTACTCGCCGGCCCTCCAAATACGGGCTTTCCCCACCCGAAATCAACATCCGCAAACCCTAAATGCCTAAGGTCGGACACCACGTAGGTTTGATGCACGGTGAAATGTGGTCTATCTTTGGTTACCATAAGGTCCATAATAGACCTCATATATTCCTCATTTACTTCATTTTTGACGCTCCTTATCTTCTCTAAAATATATCCTACACCATTCTTGCATATATCACCCGCCTTAGCACAAACTGCCGGGAATGCGCAAGCATTCCCGTAGTACCCCTTCTCTAAGGGTGAGTTAAACTTATTCCTTGCGTTTACAGCGAAGAGAAGACGAATTTCCTGCTCGGGGTCAAGCCCGAGTGCTATGGTACGACAACGCCATAGGGAAGCGCTAAGGACGTCAAAGGTGGAGAATTGTTTGATGTGTAAAGGGACATGGCGACGTAGGGCAGCAAGCTCGGTTGGTCCAAAGAGGAAGGATTTTTGGACTAAGTTGGCTTCACCATTCGAGTGGTGATCAACTTCTTCATGTTGGTCGTATTCGGGGTGGGGGAAGGTGACATTTGGGGTGTCTCTTGCGAGTAAGCGTTCACGGTCCCAAACCGGGAGGATGGATGGGGCGACAAAGCCCCGCCCCATCTCACCTACGGCGTTCATTATTTGCATTACGCCGGTGCCATCGCTTATGACATGGTTGCATCGAAGGGCTACTATGAATCCACCACATTTGAGACGGGTTACCTATTGCATGACAAACAAACACATTATTAGAATTTGTTCTTATTAGACCAACAATAAATTGTGGACTGTTAATTGGGCTCTCATGATCGTTAAATATTCACTATCATATGAATTATGACAAGTAGAAAAGTAGCCAACAAACAAGTGTTGTTTTTATTAGGTGAACAAATTAAATTTGTTCTCTTAAATTGTCATGATTATTGTAATTATTAGATCGTAATAAAATTATGAATGTTGAATGTAACGAACAGAAATAAGAGTTTGTGTACATACGACCAACTTTACTACCTTGTTTCGATAATATTTAAGCTAGGGTGGAAGGAATTATGTACCTACTTCAACTAAGGATGAGGTCGGATTATGCACTATCTTTCACAAGATTAGGTACTGAATATTTTCTATTTTAGGCTTGTCGAAAAAAAATATGAAATGATGAATTTTTATTTTTTATCTATCAAAAGTAAAAAATTTATAAGTGTAGTCCGTGTTAGATAGCAATAATGCAAATATATAATTGTTGGTTTAACGACTTTAAAGGATAAACGTTCAAGATAAAAACGAAGTATAAGGATATTAGACTATAGAATAGTAATATAGTATGTACCTGAACTATGAGCAAGGGAGTGCCAACCATTGCATCAGTGTTGGGAATTTCATATAGCAACTCCTCCAAAGGGAATGGAGGATGAATTTCACCTCCAAAATCCTCGAGTGTAGCATCGGCCTCAGCCTCGATGAAGGGTACACCTTCACCGGTGCAATCGACAATAAGCTTCCTCTTTGGTCCTTCTACTATTCGACCAGCATAGGGGTAGAAAAACACAAGAGCCTTAGCGAGAGCATCCTTGACCACTTTCACGGGGTCCTTACCCTGCATGGAAGGGTCCGCTCGGTAAAACATAATAGCGGGCATTTGGAACCGGAGACCGTCTTGATCATCAATATCCGAAACCAATTTTTGTTCTCGTGGTGTGTCCTTAGCTGGGCACACCAGCTCAAACTCCCCTCGTGTTACATTCAACACTAGGGGAGTCGTTTCTTGTGTCATAAGAGACATTTTGGTAAATAAATTAATCTAGCGTTTGATTATATGAAGGTTATATATACCTAGGCGTGTATATTTGAACAAGGGCTATGAACTTTTTATGTTGCTTGAGAAATACTAGTGATATGTAACGTCTATATATAATGGTATGTAAGTGGTGTGTTTAGTGGATGAGTTAGGTGGATTAAAGGTAACTATTGGGGCCACGTTTTAACACTGAAAATATTTGGATAAGCGAAAAAGGGATGGACAGCATGGAGTTGGTGGGTGCATGAGTTGGTGAGTATATTTTCATATGTGAGCGTATTTTAGTCAAAGTTAGGTAGGTGCTAAGATGATGCCTCCTCAATAATGCAAGTTGACGGACTATGTTTTTTTAAACGGTAAGCTATGGGAGAGGGGCACCCCACCTATCACAGGAAAGGGGGTTATAAGGAATCGAACCCCCGTCACATGGGGGGAAGATCTCCTCATTCCATTTCATGAGATGTTCTTATTAAAATGTTCAATAAGCAAATAATTAAGTAAAACTTTTCAAAAAAAAAATAATTAAGTAAAACTTGTCTAATATTAATCGAAATTATTGTATTCCCTCCGTTCCTAAGCAAATGACACAATTAAACTTAGCACACGTGCCAATGCATTACTTTGACTTTAGAAATATATATGATTAAATAATACAAGTAGTAAAAAATATTAGAAAGTTGATATTATACAACTTTATACGAAGTATAATAAATACCTATTTAACAATATATTTCATGATAAAATTTGATTTTTATACATTACCAAAACACGATGGTCAAAGTTAGTGTATGAATAGTGAAAAATCAAATTTAATATGTTTTGGTAATGTGTAAAAATCAAATTGAAAGCCACTAGGATAATCTAGAGAATTCTTCACATTGAAAGCAACTAGAATATATGGTTTGTGAAAGTTTCAGAACATTATGGCTATAAGAATGATGAAAGACTGAAGTTACAAAATTTTCTAGTTATTTCTTTCAACCTACATCTTTAACTATAAATATTGGTGATGGACATTTAATCAAAGCATACACACTCATCAACCTCAACAAAATTATATTATAACTATGAATTGCACATACTGAGATGATAACCTTTTTTTTTTGAAACTTATTTAATTATATTTAATTTATTGCACGAAATAAATTAATATAAAGCGCAGCTAATATAGTTTTGTGCTCCGGGTGATGCCCATGTTGTTTATTGAATTTTAGGATAAACCTTTTGACTTGAATGTTAAATACTATCATATACTCAATTTTGATGATGCAGGATATTTAGACATGTGATATAATACTTCAATTATTTTTACTAAACTAAAAGTATTTTTACCGATTAAAACTTATTTTTACTTATTCTCTATTATTGTAAATATATTATAAATGGATATTATTTTAAGGAACTTTTTAAAACGAATTTTATGATGGAAATAGAAGCGAGTTATTAGCAGATTTTTATTAAAAGTTATGATTAATTTGTATGTATGAAATATTAGTAGTGTATCGAATTTTGTGCCCTGGCGATGCCCAAATGATTGATAAAATTTAAGATAACATTTTTACTTGAATGTTAAATATGGTCAAATAATTCGTACTGATAATGTAGGATATTTAGACGACATACGATATCATATGGAGTGTACTTTGTATAGTTTTGTTTGTATATAGATATCTATGTTATTATTGACTTGAAATTGTTTTTATTGAACTTAAATTTTTTCAATGAACTAAAAGTATTTTTACCTAACTAAAAATTTTTACTGATTAAAATTTATTTTACCGACTTTCTAATATTTTTTTAAATGAATTAAATAACAATGCATTTTTTGTATGCGATTAACCACACCATCTGGCCGGACAAAGTAACCCCTATAAAACTGATCCAATAACTCATATAATACTAACTGAGTAATCTCTAACACGGACTGAATAACCCTTATGTATAACTAGGGGTGTTAAAAAAAACCCGACCCGGTTGTCCCGTCCCGATTACCCGATGACCCGCAAAAAACCCGACGGGAAATTTTCAAAATTTTCTGTTTTTTTTTTTGTCGTGTACCCGTCCCGCTAAAATAGCAATTTCGTGGGCCGGGACATGGGACAAGCTTTGCAATTATCGAGTACCCGGATACCCGTTTAAAAAAATAAAAATAAAGAAGTTAACAGCCACTGCCAGCCCAGCCCACTTACTAAACCTAGGGTTCCAAACTTCCAATAACTCCCAAAAAGAAAAAAACACGCAGTCTTCTTCTTCTCTCTCTTGCGCCTCATCCCTACTGCTCTACATTTCCTCAAACTTCTGTCGATTCCGTCAAAAAATCAATCAAATTCGACTCGATTCATCCTCAAACTTCAGGTTAGTTTAATTTGTACTATTTTTGTGATATTTTTGAAGTTTTTTTTTCATAGTATTTAGTTTAGTTAATATTAATCTAATTATTTTGTTTAACATCAATTGCTAGATCTAAATCATTTCGTTGTCCTGTTCATTTTCTTCTCACCACCTCAGGTTAGTTTGTTGTAATTTTTGTTCATTATAATTTGTTGTGTTGTTGATTATGGATGGTGGAGTTGGTGTTCTTTGGGTTAGGAATTTGATGGGTTGTTGCGTGTGTGTATATATATCACTATATGGTCTGATAGAGCCATGAATTGATGGGTTACCTGTGTTCTTGAAATTCTGATGGCAACTTGCTCTGGCTTCTTCTACGCATTTGAAATCAGATTGCTTATTTTTCATAATCTTTAAACTACTTGCCTTCAAATCTCTGTCGGGTTACTGATTTATTCTGTTCTTTTTTATTCTGTTTTCATTTTTGTTATTCTGTTTTCATTTTTTTTACTTGTTTTTATTTATATTATTCTGTTTTTGTATTCCGTTTTCATATGTGAATTTTGTTATCATTTTTTTTATTGCATTATTTGTGTTTTGTAGGAATGAAAGACTTGGTTTTGGAGCAACCGACTATTGTTATTGATGAAACAATGGAAATTTCGGATCTCATAAGTGATTGAATGTTATGTAACATACGTTGTTAATTGTTATGTAACATAGGTTGTTAATTGTTGACTTAAACTTAAACATACGAGTCCCTCTTGTTGTAATCTGTATTAGCAGAAATCTTTTGAGACTTTATGGCGAGACATGTTCTGCTGTCCATTGGTGTTTACTGGGTGTTTACTGGTTGTTTTCTGTAGTGTTTAGAGCAGGTACTTTGCAGGATATACAGGATTACAGATTTACAGCCATACAAGTTTTATTGTTGAGTAAAAACGGCAGGGTTTTTTTTAAAAAAAAAAATAACAGCAGTTTTTTTTTTTTAAAAAAAAAAAACAACAGGTTTATTATTGTATATATAGCAGATTTTCTGTACAAAAATACAGCAGGTTTTAGGTACAAACTTATCTAAAAAAAAAGTAAATAAAATCCGGGTACCCGTGTCCCGTCTCAGATAATTCGGGTACCCGAATTATCCGGGACGGGACACGGGCGGACTTATCAACTACCCGAAGATCCGGGTACCCGGATTTTCGGGTACCCGGATATGAACACCCCTATGTATAACACTGATTGAGTAACCACTGTAACACTGACCAAGAAACCCCTATAACACTAACGAAGTAACTCTAATCTTGTAATAGTTGGCGACACGGTTTGGCCAGCTACGTATAAAAGTTTATGATTAAATATATTATAAATAGATCTATTTTAAAGAACTTTTTAATACAAATTTGATGATAGAAATAGAATTGAGTTATACGATATTTATTAAAATTTATGATTAATTTTGTATATATGAAATATTATAATTTTATCGATATTAAAACTCTATGCTACAATTTTATCTTAAAAAATCTATCCAAAAATCGCTTACTTGGCATCATATGTGTCACAATAATGCCCATTTATCTCCTACATGATGTGACACTTGGCGAAAAACTAGAATGCCAAGTGTCGATGTCTTGTGATCTGGCTGCGAGACCGACTTTATATATTAGGGTTGGGATCTGGTGAGAAGCATGTTTATGGTGAGAAATGTGAGAAGTTAGATACATTAAGTTACTATTGTAGATACATCAAGCTATAATTATAGGTACATCATGTTTACCTTTTAAATACATTAATCTCATTGGCATCTAAATTTCAACATAAAAAATGAAAGGTTGATAAAGGGCACCCAAGCCACATGTTGTTCGTCCCTTCTCTTCCCCAATGTAAACCTCAATAAACATCAACAATGCCTTATGCATTTACATACATATATATTGTAATATAGATACATCATAATTGTGTTGTAGATACATCAAGAGTGTGTTAAAGATACATTTATGATCCCATCACTGGCTACTACTCGGGTACTACTCGGTTACAAAAACCCATCACACCCTCTGTTACAAGCTTAGTTCTTCTGCTTACGAAGACCATCACCGACTACTACATGCCTTAGCTTGAGTTCTTCTGCTTATTGAGTTTGAAATTTCTTGGTTGCGTTCATCACGATGTTTGAGCTCCACGATTTTCACGTTGATCGAAAAAACGAAATCATTAATTTTGTGTGATTCAATTGACTCATTCTTTTGGAAAATGGATGAGGTAAGAGCAAGCTCAAATCAAGAGAGAGAAAACCATGAAATAAGAATTGGGCGTCAATTTCGAGCTCCATGCTTGATGCCTCCATATCAGCATTAGAACAGGGGAAGCAAAAGAGAGATGAAGGAGAGAGGAAAAAAAAAAGGACCCCAAATTAATGAGGAAAAGGAAATAATGTCGAGATGAGGAGGAAAATTGAGGAAAAAAAATTCTTATATTTACCTTTTTGTCATTAATGAGTTGTGTGCAATTGTAGCCACTAGATCTAATCAATCTGACGGTCCAACATAAACTTCCCTTATATATATATATATATGTATATATATATTGTAAGAACATATTAGATGCGATAGCGGAATTTCAGGAACATTTCCTAAACATCTAAAATAGGATCTCATGCATATAAATAATACGAATCACATAAAGTAGTCAGATATACCTTTGATGCGTGTACTCCTCGTTAGCCTTAGATTGTCCTCCTTCGGAGATCCAGAACTCAATTTTTGATTCCTCTACTTGGTCCACAAAACCCGAGATGAATTCCACGTATGCTAGTACGGAAGAAGGAGGAAGAACTTTTCACTCTTCTCACTTTTTAGGGATGCAGTTATATGAGAAAATATTATACGTTGTATTTTCTCTCTCTGTAATTGTATATCTCATACACAGTAATAGGCCTAATATATAGAAGTTATTAGATTACAAGATTAGCAAGCCGAACTCACTAATGACTCCTCACATAACCGCCCACTTAACCTTTATTGGGCTTGGTGTGCCTTTTCCATCTCGTGCTTTTATGTGTGACCTTATAGGATCTTATTACATTTAGCAGCAAACCCATTAAATAATAGGCCTGCAAATCGTAGTTGGTTTCTAGCAAAACATTACGATTCCTAAAATAACCGAATTAATAATCTCCTTAATTAATCCTATATCATATTTAGTAATTATTGTACTTGATCGAGGACACTCCTTCAATCTCCCACTTGTCCGAGAACAAGTAGACCAATCATGAATTCTCTTAAGTCTCTTAATGTCCAATTTGATAATATGATAACATCTTATGTCATCCATATTAACATTCAAATTGTTTCTTGAAATCTGAGTTAAGAAACGTAAAAACAAGTGATTAAACCTTTAATCCACTTGAGCACGGCCATGCATTTTCAGTTCTAACTCTTCAAGAGGCCAAGACACCAATCCCATTTAAAATAGGAGGACTTATCCATTCTTGTCCAACCAATACTCCCACTAAACTTTTAGCATTCCTGATTGCTGCCTTTATTACCTCCTTTTACGGCATGGCGTTTGACATCATCAAGGATATACTAATTATCTCATGGAAGAATGTTGTTCTCATGTCTGAGGAATCCACTAAATATAAGTTTGAAATCTTATTTCAACTTTGGTCTGTTCCATACACATCACAATGCATATCTATGTAGTCGACTAAACATCTCTATTTTCCTATAGCTCATGAAACTGAGCTATCAATCGATCCACATACTAGTCTTTTGATTGAGCCATTTATGTCCATTAATGTCTCAGACTAGGAACACTAGTAATTTATAATTTAAGTTCTCCTAATAGGGTTTCATTTGTCAAATCACGCATTTGACAACCTATAAAATTACAATTATTTTGAATATTTTATTTAATTCTAAACCACAATTAAATAAGAATAATTCATTGATAAACATAAATATTACATAATTCAATGTCTTTACAATTATGAAAATCGATTACATAATCTAAAGCCATTCTCCAACATGCTTGATTCCTATAGCTCTAGCGTGACTTTCATGCTTTGGCTGTGGTAGGGGTTTAGTTAATGGATCAGCGACATTCTCATCCGTATGAACTTTACAAACTCTGACATCTTTCCTAGCAACAATTTCTCGGATTAAATGGAACTTCCTTTCCACATGCTTAGATTTGTGATGTGATCTTGGTTCTTTTGCCTGAGCAATTGCACCATTATTATCACAGTACAAGTCAACTCCATTCACAATGGTAGGCACAACTCCCAACTCAATGAGGAATTTCTTAATCCAAACGGCTTCTTTGGTCGCTTCAACTGCTGCCAAATATTCAGCTTCTGTTGTAAAATCTGTTGCAGTGCTCTGCTTTGAACTTTTCCAGCTGACTGCACCTCCATTTAGACAAAAAATGAAACCAGATTGTGATCGGAAATCATCTTTGTCGGTTTGGAAACTTGCATCTGTGTAACCTTTAACAACTAAGTCACTCTCACCTCCATACACTAGGAAACTATCCTTAGTCCTTCTTAAGTACTTAAGGATGTGCTTAGCTGCACTCTAGTGCGCGTCGCCCGGATTTGATTGGAATCTACTACATACGCCCAAGGCATATGAGACATCTGACCTTGTACAAATCATAGCATACATAATTAATCTTATAGCAGATGCATAAGGAACATTTCTCATTTGCTTAGTCTCATCATATGTCTTTGGACACTGAGTCTTGTTTAGCGATATGCCATGTTGCATGGGAATGAATCCTCTTTTAGAGTTTTCCATATTGAACTTTGTAAGAACCTTATCTATATAAGTTTTTTTACTTAGTCCAATAATCCTTCGAGACCTATCCCTATGGATTTTGATTCCCAAAATGTATTCGGCCTCTCCTAAGTCTTTCATAGAGAAACTTTTCAACCACTCCTTGACAGATTCAAGCATTGGTATGTTATTTCCTATGATAAGTATGTCATCCACATACAATACCAAGAAGACTATGTTGTTCCCACTTTCTTCTTGTAAACACAAGATTCTTCTTCGCTTATGAGAAAATCAAACTTTTTTATTGCCTCATCAAATCGAAGATTCCAACTCCTAGATGCTTGCTTTAGCCCATAAATAGACTTCTTAAGCTTGCATACATTCGTAGGATTTTCTGGATCTACAAAACCTTCTGGTTGTGTCATGTACACATCCTCCTCCAAGAAACCATTCAAGAAGGCGGTTTTCACATCCATCTGCCAAATTTCATAGTCATAAAATGCAGCAATCGCTAGAAGTATCTGAACGGATTTAAGCATCGCTATCGGTGAAAGAGTTTCATCATAGTCAATACCATGGATTTGCTTGAAACCTTTAGCAACCAGTTGAGCTTTGAAAATAGTTACATTGCCATCCTTATCAGTTTTCAATTTGAAAACCCATTTGCATCCAGTAGGTGTTACCCCATTTGGCAAATCAACTAAATTCCATACTTGGTTCTCTGACATGGATTCCATTTCGGATTTCATGGCTCCAAGCCATTTTTCGGAGTCTGAACTTGTCAAGGCTTGTTTATAACTAGTAGGTTATTTCCGGTCCAAAATCATAATTTCAGAGTTTTTCGTTAACAGAAGTTCAACAAACCTCTTAGGTGGTCTTGTTGGTCTACTAGATCTACGTACGGGCTGAGCAACGGGAGAAATGTTCTTCTCAACTATTTGAGAATTTTCGCACAAATTTGATTCGAGTGGGACGATAGGAGGTTCTTGCGTTGAATGCAATACCTCCATCACATTGTTAGTAGTGAGGAGAGGATCGTGCGTTTCAAGCACTAGCTCTT